ATGAGAATTAAATGCTCAGAAAGGATTGTAAATCTGTTTAGGTATGTAGACTTTTATTACAAAAAATATTTTATACGTGTACTAAATGGTCATATTCAAATATAATGTTCAACCGCTGTGGTTTAAGAAATGAAAGGCCTAAATGTAAAATCAATTCTTTTTGTGTGGATTGAAGTATTTACTTCATATGTGTACTGACAAACTCAGGTAATGTTTGGGTTCATACAATTTCTCTCCAGTCGAAAATTTTTCAAAAATTTTAGGTCCAAATATAGGTCATATTCAGGTGCAATTTCATCACAGGGAAGTGTGATAATTCAAAAGTGAACTTATTAAACCATTATTTAATTATGGACCTCGTTGCCTGAAAGACATTCAAAGATATATTACATGCACTTGAAGATTTGATATTGAATATTTGAGAAATGACCAAAATTTTGGAAATCACAGTGGTCCACCATTAGTTTCATATATGTACTCCCTTTTAGCACCATTTTGAAAAAGCAATACCCGAGACGGGGAATATGAAAGTAAATGAAATTGCATTTTTTTCTGAATATTATGAAACAGACAAGCACACCCATAAAAAAATTCCGAATTTTATGTCTTTCATGATTCTGTCGAGCTAAATTTCCTTTTGTATGAGAACTTCGTCACGCTATATTGAATCCAATTGCTTGTAACGTAAATATATTATTCTTTAAAAGATCTGTTCTATTCGTAATAAGCATACCTTTGTGAATCATGCAAATGCGCAGTACCAATTGGAGAAAAGATATCATTGTTAAATCTTAATTGTTTGTGTCTATTTTGCAGCAAACCTTCGAAGCAGGCATCCTCATGGTGAATATGCTGGGGTTCATCCACGATAATATCTACATGTATAGCTTCTTTAAACGCAGTATTAAGTTTTGTTTAACGTAGTGAACAAGAAGTCGAACCACCACCAACTCAAGTGAAAATAAGCCTATGCAAGAGCTGGCTCTAATGTCAACGAAATGACTACTATATACAGTAGCTGAACAAGATGGCGAAACGCACTCACGATCAATAGAGGACTAAAAATTTCCAAACAACAGAAAATTTACACTTGTGAAACCCTAATATTCACAGGCATTCAGATTGAATAATAAAACTCATTGGTTTCGTTTAAGAGATAAAAGGAGTATGCATTTTTTGAATGAAAGTGGCATGGTTTCCGGTTTTCCACTGGAAGCTTGTCATCTACCAACCAACCTTAAATTAAAGTGAAGAACACGTTTCAGAAGATGAAAATCTCAAATGGCACACTCATGAATGTTTTCTCGTGTGCGAAATTAAGCCGATTCATACTCGTCTCTGCCACCAGCCAGAAAAAAAAATGTGGACATGGAAAACCATCAAAATGAGTGATTGTATGTGTCGATGGACATTTTGAAATTGCTGATTGAAACTATGAAGAAACATACCAAACGTTTGTTTAAATCTTGCTATCTTTTATTGGTAACAGTATATAGTAATCATTACATCTTGTTTTATCAAGCAAAGTTTGTTTAAATCTTGCTATCTTTTATTGGTAACAGTATATAGTAATCATTACATCTTGTTTTATCAAGCAAAGTTTGTTTAAATCTTGCTATCTTTTATTGGTAACAGTATATAGTAATCATTATATATTACTCTATCACCAAAAGTTTGTTTAAATCTTGCTATCTTTTATTGGTAACAGTATATAGTAATCATTATATATTACTCTATCACCAAAAGTTTGTTTAAATCTTGCTATCTTTTATTGGTAACAGTATAAAGTAATCATCATATCTTGTTTTATCGAGCAAAGTTTGTTTAAATCTTGCTATCTTTTATTGGTAACAGTATAAAGTAATCATCATATCTTGTTTTATCGAGCAAAGTTTGTTTAAATCTTGCTATCTTTTATTGGTAACAGTATATAGTAATCATTATATATTACTCTATCACCAAAAGTTTGTTTAAATCTTGCTATCTTTTATTGGTAACAGTATAAAGTAATCATCATATCTTGTTTTATCGAGCAAAGTTTGTTTAAATCTTGCTATCTTTTATTGGTAACAGTATATAGTAATCATTATATATTACTCTATCACCAAAAGTTTGTTTAAATCTTGCTATCTTTTATTGGTAACAGTATAAAGTAATCATCATATCTTGTTTTATCGAGCAAAGTTTGTTTAAATCTTGCTATCTTTTATTGGTAACAGTAATATAGTAATCATCATATCTTGTTTTATCGAGCAAAGTTTGTTTAAATCTTGCTATCTTTTATTGGTAACAGTATAGTAATCATTATATATTACTCTATCACCAAAAGTTTGTTTAAATCTTGCTATCTTGTATTGGTAACAGTATATAGTAATCATTATATCTTGTTTTATCGAGCAAAGTTTGTTTAAATCTTGCTATCTTTTATTGGTAACAGTATAGTAATCATTATATATTACTCTATCACCAAAAGTTTGTTTAAATCTTGCTATCTTGTATTGGTAACAGTATATAGTAATCATTATATCTTGTTTTATCGAGCAAAGTTTGTTTAAATCTTGCTATCTTTTATTGGTAACAGTTATAGTAATCACCATATTTTGCAGTATCTTAACAATCAGGATTTGTCAAGAATAATTATTCTTCTCTGAATAGGACATTTCCATGCTGTTATTCCAAATGATATCCTCAAGTAAAAAAAAAGGTCGTGGTACTCATTTATTTGTTTAATTTTGTTATGTTGTCTTTAATAGTTTCCTTTAAGGAAACATAGAAATCATAAGAAATTATCTTTCCTCTGTGACTTTGGGTCTCAACTCAAAAGTTTCTTCCTCCTTACCTTAGAATATAGGTTCCTTTCCACGGGTATTTTCTTGGTGATACTCGTTTCTAAGTTCCTTTCTGCCATGGATTTAACCTTGGTACTCGTATCTCAGTTCCATTCTCCTGGGAATTTAATATTTGTGTAAATTTCCTTTTCTCTAGGATTTAAGTCAGGGTGATACTCGTATCTGAGTTCCTTTTTCCTAAGAATTAAATCTAGGTGATACTCGTATCTAAGTTCCTTTCTCCTAGGAATTAAATCTTGGTGATACTCGTATCTACGTTCCTTTCTCCTAGGAATTAAATCTAGGTGATACTCGTATCTAAGTTCCTTTCTCCTAGGAATTAAATCTTGGTGATATTCGTATCTACGTTCCTTTCCCCTGGGAATTAAATCTTGGTGATACTCGTATCTAAGTTCCTTTCTCCTAGGAATTAAATCTTGGTGATACTCGTATCTAAGTTCCTTTCTCCTGGGAATTAAATCTGGCCGATACTCGTATCTAAGTTCCTTTCTCCTGGGAATTAAATCTTGGTGATACTCGTATCTAAGTTCCTTTCTCCTGGGAATTAAATCTGGCCGATACTCGTATCTAAGTTCCTTTCTCCTAGGAATTAAATCTTGGTGATACTCGTATCTAAGTTCCTTTCTCCTGGGAATTAAATCTTGGTGATAGCCTACTCGTATCTAAGTTCCTTTTACCTAGAAATTAAAACTTGGCGAAACTCATATTTAAGTTCCCCCCTTCATTATTTTTTTTAAGTAAAAAGTGAACGTAGTCGTAATGATAAAGGCTTATATTATGTATCACCAGCAATCAAAAGACTATAGTATATAAGAACATATTAAGTAATTTTTCATTTTTACTATTATTGCAAATGTTGTACATGTATTTATTGTATCCAATTTTATGGTAATCTATTGTGCTAATTGCTACTTGTACTTATAAATAAAAAAAATCATATTTTGCAACTCTTATATGCCGGATCGGACATTAAGTATATGTTAGCCATTAGGCCTAGGCCTACATATGGCTTTCAATGTCGGTGAAATGGAAAATTTAATGACAACTCTAGTCTAATGAAGTATAAAGCCATTAATCACTGATTGGTATTACAATAACTTGATTACCAACCCGATAATCCCTTAATTACCTGTTATAAATCTTAAACTAATCATCAATTCAATTATCTGCTAACGGTACTTCTTTGTTTACATTTAGAAATTGAAACATAGTTATCTCCCTTAATCTAAGCAAGATAATTCTGACCTATATTCTATTAAAACATTGCCAATGACACTCTTGAAGTATGTTATGAATTTCTGACAAAATTCAAGAAAGTTTTAAAATTTTACAGTTAATCTCCTGTAAAAAATGAACTTAAATTCAGAGAAATGTAAGTTTTCTATCCAATAACCTCCCGTTTAGTGTACTTTATTTTTTTTTCTCTCTTTAAATTAATTACCTCCCTTGAAGTTAAAAATTCAGATGTCAATCAAGTAGCCTATAGCTCTACATGGAACTGGATATAATATGAACATGGTGTAGTAGACCTTCTCTCAAGCTGAAATTGAGATCAAATTTCACAGGTCGTTGAAAAATGTCCGACTGACAAAAAAATAAATAAACAACCCTGTTGTTAAATATCGACTATGAAGCGAATGGCCCCTCCAGCCTGTTTGCAAACCACATTTCAACTTCAAAACAATGGATCTTCTCCTGAACACGACTTAGTTCCACAGCTTCCCTTAAAATTCAAACTATCAAAGAGCAATTACCAGAAGAAAGACAGATGATTTTTAAACTCGGGTCCGATAGGACTACTGAAGATCGTACTGGTACTTTACTGCTTACTTGATGGTAAGAAAGTGGGTGAGCGAGGATGAATTTTGTTTCCGACAGTGTTTTTGAATATAATTTTCCGTGAGACTATATATCATTTTGTTGATGGAAAGTTGTAGACTTGTTAATCTATATAAGTTGATGGGAAGAAATACATGACAAAAGAAAAACATTTAGGACGAGAGGCGGCAAGTATACATGTATACTATAATTGTCTTCAATCAAAAAAAAAATGGGCGTGACTGTGTGTAGAAATCACGTGACAGACTAACGATTCTTTCCTCTAAAAAAGAAGAGTCATCTAGTTTCGCAAGCAGACGACGCTTGTGTTTACAAGGAGACGATTGTCAAAAACCACTGTAATTTCATACCGTTTATCCAGTGTGATTTATTTTCTAATTTTGTTAGTTGGTAAGTTAAATTCTTGTAAAAATCATGAAGCAATAGCATAACTGTCATCTGCATAAATTGTCATCATTCATCTTGCTTGGTTTGGCAGCACTATTATTTATGAAATAGTCATATAATGACATTGTGTTAGGCTGTTAGGTTAGGCCTTCACACTCATAACTGTGTAAATGTCTTGACAGTTGTCTGAGTTGATTAGGCAGAGCCATAGGTTAGATGTAGTTTCAGTGTTCAATTTGATGTTGATCACATTACTTGATGGGCCAATTGACTATTATAGAATGTTAGGCTACTGGTATTGTTGTTAGCTTATTCCACACAATAGGCCTGCCTATTATAAAATAAATGTCCTTTTCTTTTCTATCTGAGAAGCAGATTAGTAGAATGTAAATTTAATTTCATTCCACTGTTGAGTCAGCTTGCAATGTGCTTACTGTATTTTATCATTCAATCATGTAAATATTTCTATACAGTAATTTATTTTGATTTAAAATTAAGATAAAATTCTAATTAATAAAATAAATTTGTACGGTATTTCGAATTTCACATTTCAAAATAAATTGATATTATCTAAAATCATTAAAAATGTATGTATGGTATCTTATTTGATTTGATTCCTTTTTTAGACCCAAAAATTCAGTTTGAACAGTGGTGTTCAACCTTTTTCTTTCTATTACCCCGTTCAGGACCCTTGGTCGATTGCATTACCCCCCTTATCCCTCTAGATTCTTACTTTTTTTGTGATGATCTCTTCGGTTTTCCCTGCAATATCAATCATACCATAAATCCCAATCACAATGAATAAGTAGGCGTTCAGTAAATATTTGATGTAAATGAAATCGCCTAAATGGCTTTTCATCTCTAGGGTAATCTCAATAATACATTCTCACCTAATATAGAAACAATAGTTATAAGAGAGAGTGACAAGAGTAAACTGATGAGAGTTGCATTACATTTATAAGATTCAGCTAAAACTGAAGTCATTAGCAGTGATAAATCCATTTAAAAACAGTAATCTTACTGATTTTGAACATAAAAGGCTTTAAAATAAAAAATGGATGAAAGAAAAGGATCTGAAGTATCTTAAAATAATTTTTGGAATATAATTATGATAGTGTATGATGTTTCCCTGATTTATTACTGTCTTATTGGCTTCATTTGTGTTGGTTATCATGTTGATTAGAGGCAGTAATTATTATCTCCCATCATCACAACAGATGACAAATGACTATCTTCTGGAACAGTCTAGTGAGAAGAGAATGTAATCTTGTTTATTCGTAGGATGTTATCTTAGTGGGCATATTTCATTCATGATAATTCTAAATCAAATAAACAGACGTTTGTACCCTAAATTTGTGCTGTGCAGTGTTAACTCACGTACACACTTGTTCAACACAAGTTTGTTTACTTAAAAAAGTTAGATAAGAAACACTTGAGCAATTACAGTTAACCAGTTTCTTAATGATATAATTCATTTATCAAACGGTTTTCTCTTTAGCTGGAATAAATGGCCGCAAAGTTTTTGACTAGAACAAAAAGTCGCGATAATTGGGATGGAGGTAAACATCAAACCCGTTTGGAACATATTTGTGATTTGAATATTGATGATAGTCCTTCCAACGTGAAGAAAACTGGGATTATCTGTACTATAGGTAAGATTGAGCTATATTTGATTTCTTTTATAACTGAACTGCCTCATTTTGATGTGAGTTTGTGTTTAAATAGAAATTTGATAGAGCCCTTAAGCAGTAATCATAAACTGTTATGCTTACATGTAATTCGGGGCTGAATAACTTGGACAATGTTTAAGATTCAAAACGCCCTGGTTTCTGTAAGTTAACTCTCCATTATTATTCTCAGGATTATCTATTTGTAATGAAATACAGAATAACTTTTACGTTAATGTTCCAATTCCTTTATTTTACTGCTGATTAGTTTCTATCTCTATACTGTAGAACATCATGTAACTCATTTGTAATTTCAAGCAAATGTCAATTTTCCTGAACCTGAATTATTCTTACTGAGGACTATTACAAGTGACATGTAGTCACATTCACTCAATGATACAATCGATTTCTTTTTTTTCTATAAATTGACACTTCATGGTAACCTTCAAATGGACTTCATTTGAGCTATTTCAGAAGTAATTTCATCAATACCAGTACTTAGTAAAAATACATTTAAGCTTATTATGTATCATGTATCACGCTACTTAATGCTGTGAAAAGGGTGCATTAATCTTAAATTGTGTCCATGATTCACATGTGTTACTGCAGTTTACTTCAAATTTTGGGATTGAAAATATCTCAAATCTGAAGATTAATAAATCAAAACGTTAAAAATTGGACCTTGATGAGGAAAAAATTTTCATATACAAACTAACTACTGCTGTGATAATGAAAGACATCTCTAAATTGTTATATTTGAACATTACATTCAGGACCAGCATGCGATTCAATAGAGATGATAGAAAAATTGATAGAGAAAGGAATGAGAATATGCCGACTGAACATGGTTCATTCTTCAGAAGAGGTATTCTTTTGATTTATTATCCTATTTTTTCTGAATATGCAAAGTGGATTCAAGAATAGCTTAGAATCTGAATCCTTTCAATTTTTTCCATATAATATATTCATATGTAATTGTCCACATGTCTGCACGTCAGCCTTAGGCATGAATTTAGATTTATGAAAGGGTGATAGTTAGAAGATTGAACCAAGGTCTTCTATTCATCAAAACACTGAACGCTTATGGCTTCTATTTGCACCATTTCAATTCCTGCAACTCTGTACATTCCCTGTCATTCACTACTGCACTGCCTAGTTTTATAAAGACAGATTTTTATTATAATGAAACTTTTGCATAGGGAAAACTAAAGAGTAGGAAAGAGGAGAAAAAACCCATTATGTCAACTTTGAAAAAGTGATGAGCATTCGGCATTTTCCCAATTTCACCATTGGGACTTAAATTAGATGTTATTTCAGCTATTTTTTATCTCTTTGACTGAACTGACCTATTTTTCTTGAACTAAATATTGTCCAATCATCAGTTTTGTAATGAAAAGTATTAGCCTTGAGTCATGAAAATGTGATCTGCTTTCTTTCAGTTTCACTAGTATAGTGTATAGAAAGAAAACCTTGATATAATGTGTACACTATATTGTCCATGGCTCTGTTTTATAATAACCCAGTTCCTTGTGAACTATATAGTGTCAACTGTTTTGATGACACTTGTTTTCTCTTAAGAAAATTGCCTCTCATAATATTCTTATGAATACGATATTTGATACCGGTAATAAATAAAAGTATGAGTAGGATAGTATCCAACAATATTTTTTCCTTTGGTTGAGAGTACGATGACCTGGACTAAATGATCTTTCCTCATTATTCCAGTCGACCCACCTGTATATGGGTTAGTAATCTGCGCTGAGGTTTGACCACAGATCAGCTGGTAGACAAAATCCTTGTGAAACCAAGTTGTTTTTTTTCTAAAACCATTTGTCTTATATTTCAGTATTATATGAAAGTGATAGAAAACATAAGGAAGGTTGTATGTGAGAAGTATGATGAGAGTCAAGTAGCTATAGCTATTGATATCACAGGACCTGGTGCTAGAATAGGAAGATTTAAGTCTGTAAGTAATTCATTTACAATTATGTCCTGTCATTTGCAATATATTACAAAAATAATCTCACTTAATTATATGTCCATATTAGAGACATCAATTTGAAGGCTGATGTTCAATTACTCTTTTGGTGGGCAACAAATTGTAGAAGTAACATAAACCCCTTGTGTGGCAAGACCTTCTTAATGTTAAACACTGCGCTCTATACATTTAGATTACGTTTGATCTTATTGTAAAAATTTGAACCATCTTACTTTTTTGTGCATTATTGTACTAATGTAGTATCTTGCAATGCTAATGAAGGAAATTTGGTTTTCCTTCTCTCAATCTTTTCATATTTAATGTTATCAGATAGGTTATTTATTTATTATTGATGCTTTCCCAAGTTTATGGTTTTGTGGACGACTTGGGCACTTTTGATAATGTATAACCTTATAATGATTTTCTGCATATTGAACAATTCGATTATAACCGAGACTTATTAGTTAGCACTATATTGTTACATTTGACTAATTTAATTAATTTGTATGTGTTAAAGCTTAGTCATGGAATTGATTTGTAAGGGAAGTCTAGGAGCTGGTTGTCTTCAATCTAATGAATTGAGACAATCTGACTTTGAGATGAACTCACTGTTGAATATCAGCTTGATTTCAAATCTGGCTCTGTCAATGTTCAGATAAAAGTAGGGCTTTGATTTCCTCGAGATCTATTTTTTAGAAGTTTAATGTATAATGAATAATGAAGAATGTTTTGACACTTCAGAAATAACTTTGTTCACAATAATCTAATCCACGTGCAGTTTGAATTATATTATATTGAAAGTTCTAATCAAATCAATTGAATATGTCTGTATGACCTTGAGAAATTTAAAGGTCACCTTCAAATGAAAGTCGACCTTATGAAAATACAAACCTTTATGTTTCCCTTCAATGACATCTAAAGTTGTTGGCTATCATACATCTTTATTTCCGAAGTTGAAGTGATATATTTTGGTATGTATATTGATAGGTCAATACTCTGCAAGTGCAGTTCAATTTTAGAAGAAGATATATATCCAGATGGATCTTATCAAGCTTAGTGTTGATGTCAAACAAGAACATTATTCAGATGTGTAATGTATCAGAACAGGGCTATTGATTTGATTTTCTTTGCCAGTCGTGTCTGATTAGAAACTCAGCATATCTGTCTTATTAATAAAATTCAGAAAATTTAACAAATGTAAAGTTTTACCCTGAAATGTCTGGCTATAAAAATTAATAAAAGTCAAGAGCACTGACTGTAAAATAATGAAGATAACTGAATAACACCATGTGGACAGGAAACTTGTTCTTGTAAACTTATAATAATTACGGTATATTAACTGACTTTAGACATAAAGATATTCAGGTCCAGTTATTTCTATCAGAGGTATATGATATTTCTCTACCTTATTGTACTTAAACACCCACAGGATGTAAACTAATGTAGTACAGTTTATTAAAATAAAGCTGGTTTGATTATTACTGAATTATTGTAAACATCTTCTACATTGAAAAAGTTTATTATTTTATTGATCAAGAGTTCATCTCATGCTGCTTGCACGTGTTTTAGATATTGTATATACAGAGTTTTCTTTCCAATAAATAAGCTTAACTTTAGGCAAATGAGCTAAGTAAGCAAATCATACAATGCCTCAAAAACATGATGTGCTAAATGATAATAAACAAACTTAAATGTTTTTGAAAATTGTCTAAGCCTACACAGAATGTTATTCAACATTTATAAACAAGATACAAATAGATTTATTTTGTTATAATGATAATTGTTTAATCAAACTAGAATATATTCTGTGATCATAATACTAATAATACAATGCTAAATTTATATAATAATATAAATGAGTTTTATATAGGTCATATTAGCGTGCAGTTAGTATATAATACTAGTAGTCAATTATTATATTCAGATACATACTATAAACTTACTCAGTCATGTTATAATTTATTGGATATTTTATTCAATGATATATGATTTACTCATTGATTTTCATAATTGACTCTTCACTGTGTTGAGTCTATGAAATCTGCTTTATTTTCTACTATAGGGCTTGTAACAGAGTATCTGATAGAGCTCTCATAAATAAAAAACAAGTTGAGTGATGTTTTTGTATACAAATAAGAGGATAAGTGTATCATCAATTACTTCATGGCACACGAAAGAAAACTTGAATCATTCTTAGTACAAAATCTTAACTTTATAATGTATGAAAATTTTTGTCCCAAAACTAAAAATTTATTTAATTTCATTAAATACTATAATAACTCATAATGGAGTTGCCAGTTATCCATGACATGCTTATCTTTGGACCAGTTAACTCTTTTAACACATGTGACTGCACTATCAGCCACAAAATTACATGATACGCAGAGCCCACCCACATACCAGCAGTCCGTGAGGCTGTTACGACACTAAATATAAAGTTTATCAAATGTACTTAATACCATACTCGGTTCAGGGTATATAAAATTTAATTTATTTACACCTGAGTGTTCAAAGGGTTAATGAAACACACTCATCTGTACTTAAATTTAGATTTTTGATGTACACGTGCAAGATTTAACCTTTGAAAGATATTTTGTAGGATATTGGAATATGTATAACATTAAAAGCAGGAGGTACTATGTTGTTAACTCATGATAAGAAATATGAAAGTTGTTGTGATAACCAACATGTTTATGTTGATCAACCTCAATTCTTCCATAACGCAGAAATTGATGATGTCATTTATATTGAAGATGGTCCGCTTTCTTTAAAGGTCTTGGAAAAAAGTAAGTAATTCTTGTGTGATAAGTTTCATTTTTATTGGAATTTTATTTGATATGTTTCAGCCCACTCTGTTTTCAGTAATAAAACAAACTGAAACTGCAGAAAGATTCTTTAAGTTTAAAATTTTATTGATTTTTTGACATCAAGTATTTTTCTTTCTTACATGGTTATCAAGTCAAAGATGTAAAATGATATTGATTTTACTGGTACAAAAAATACTTCATCATTTTGAAGTATTTATTGAATTCCTTTCTGTTGTTTTTTAAGCATACAGAGAATTTTTTTTTGCAATAACGTTATTCTCCTAGGAGAATGCTCTAGGCGTAAGAAAATTCATTATTAAGGCTTTTTATGTAACTAAAGAGCTTTGAATATAATAAGATATCATATTTGTTTAAGATATTCATAAGTTTGTCAAAATATTCAATTTTATGTGCTTCAATTTCTGATGGCAGTTTTAATCATACCCTTTATTTAACATTGAAGCTTCAAAATACTGGGTACTAAACTTTAATTTGACAGTGAAACATGGTGTCTCAACTTATTTATTTGTTTTCAGCCGATAACTTAGAGCTAATTTGTCAGATAGAAAGTGGTGGAGACATGGTTAATTTCCAGCAATGTCATATACCAAAAAAACTTCCTGGTAAACCAGTTTTAACTCAACGTGATAAAGATGCTATTGCCTTCGCCCTAGAAAATGATGTAAGTGAAATGGCTCAATAAATTATGTACCTTGTCACATTTCTAATTGTTTTTACAGACAGATAAATAGGTTTTACTGTTAAAAAACGTGAAATGTACCAGTTACCATGTATGTCTGAAATATATGATAGTTGAAGAAAAATTCTTTTTTTATTTAAAAAGAAGATCTTGTGAATCATTGTGAATTATCATGCCTGTGATTCTATCCAGTTGACTGAAATCAAGTGGGTAAATTTGTTGACGCGAGTCTAAAGTGTAAAACAAATATTAATGGTCAAAACGTGACAGATTCTAAATTTTATGGTTGACATTTCCAACATTGACATGATAGTTGATCCTTTCTTACTTTACAAACAAATGATCTGTTTCACTTTCACAATTTGAAAGATTTAAAATGAAAATGTCATTTATCTAATAAGATTTTTATATTTGATTAGAACTGCTAGTCACAATCTTTCTGATAAGGTGAAGGATGGTAAGTTTCCAACCTCTGATTTGATCACTGACTGTAGATCTAATTTTAACCCTTGAACACCAAGTGATGACTTTAATCTTATGATAAAAACATTAAATGACTTCATATATTAAGAACCTCTTTATCAGCTGTTCTGGTGTATATACATGTACCACATAATTTTAGGTCCAATAGAGCAGCCACTATTGTTTGAAGGGTTAAATGTGTTTTAGTTTTTATCAAGAGAGTGTGTGTTTCTATTGAAATGGCTCTTTTTATGGTTTATTATTAAAGGTGGATATGATACTAGCATCATGGGTTTGGTGTTCAGATCTGATTCAACAAATCCGACTGGAGCTGGGTACGAAGGCTGATGCTGTACATGTAATAGCTAAAATACAGAACTATGAAGGAGTTGTCAAGTAAGTCAGATAAACTCTTTTATCTTTTACAGCAAATTATTGTCTCTAGACAGTCTGCTTGACACATGGTGTTTGTCTTCAAATTAGTCTTGATTAGGTGTAAACTGAAATCGTGTGGTTAAAACATTTATAGAAACACTCTTAAGATTAATCCTCTCACATTCGCATAAAAGTTTGTTAATTGATCATGTAAATAATTTTGAATTATCATGTCTGTGATTGAAATCTAGTGGGTAAATTTGTTTTGAATCCATGATGCCTTCATTTATAAAAGTTGTTAAAGCAATACCATATATGGTGAAGACATGAAAGTAGGCCCTGTTGTTTATAATTGCAACATTAAGCTTATAGAATCAGACAGTTTTCATGTGTGTAAACTTTGGTCTTGTTAACTATGTAATTATTTTACTCTAAATTAGATATTCTAAGATATAAATTGAGAAAATCTTGCAATGCTTGGCAGTACATGATAGAATGAAGTGTTTATTGGATTGGATGACTTGAAGATCAATAAAAGTTGGCTATCCATAGATCTTGTTTTGACACCTGTCAAGCCGTCATATTCTAATAATTATTAATATATTTATATTGACTGTCTTGTTCCCATCTTCAAGTGGTGATATTATATTATTTACCATAAGAGAGTGATCATGACAAAGAAATAGAGTGACAGCATTGAAGGAGAAAGAGAAGGTTTAGTTTAAAATACCCTTTCTTAGGTTGTAATAGTTCAAATCTATGCTATAAGTGTCTCTGATACACATAAAAAGTATAGAAAATTTCTTTACAATCCATTGAAGATAACATATAACTTTGCATGCATTTTTAAAGCAAAAGATCAATAAAAAGAGTCCTTAGAGGTATATACATTATACCAATCAGTATATCTACTCATGTATAATTCATACTGGTTTATAGAAATCAGCTTATATCATACTGGAAATAACTTTTCATTTTACACTTGAGATACATGAAAAAAAATTGAAAGAAAATTATTTTTTTGCTGGAAAATCCTCTCAACAAAATTCATCTTTTGCCTAAAAGAATAGTAATATTTTGCCTTCACACACTTCTTATTTCGCTGTATAAATCCCCTCAAAAAAATTCTTGTTATGTGTCTAAATACATGTACCTTCAATTAAAGTCTTAATTTGCTGTAAAGCTGTTTTTATCTCTTACTGAATGATGTTTATAAACTAATGATATTAATGTATTTCAGTTTTGATGATATATTGAAAGTAAGTGATGGTGTATTGGTTGGTAGAGGTGATTTAGGCATTGACATTCCAGGAGAGAAAGTATTTTTAGCTCAGAAAATGATAATAGGAAAAGCTAATAGTGCTGGCAAACCTGTAATTTGTGCTGCTCAGGTAGGACTAATATTCTAGTAATTACTCTTAATAAAACATTATAATGAATTACGACAGGAGCATCCACATTGTATGAAAATAACATCATATGTTCATAGCATCTTTTCAACCAGCTGGTTCTTGGATGCTATGAACAAGTATTTAGGAAAGATGACTTTTCAAGGTTACCAGAATTTGGCACACTTACTAACCTTTTTGGGAATACATATTTTATCGACTTAATTCCCCAAACCTCATAGCAATAGGTCTTGGCAGCTTCATGAATTAAATTGATATTTGTAGATGTTAGATAGTATGGTACATAATGTTCGACCTACTAGAGCAGAAGCTAGTGATGTAGCTAATGCTGTATTAGATGGTATAGATTGTATTATGTTATCTAAAGAAACAGCTGTTGGTACCAACCCAGTTCAAGTTGTAGAAACTCTTTCAGCTGTAAGTACCATAACACAGAATTTTAACTTAAATCAAATATTCTTAACCATGTAACCTCCATGTAACCTCCATTTCCAAAATGAGTTCTTTTATATTTGAAATATGAGTTAATGATCTCTTGTCTAGAAGATATTAGAGTTTTCATACTTTCGAATTTTCTTGCTCTTGATCATCTTCAAAGCTTGCCAACAGGTATCATATGATTTTAACCAAGAAAAGTGTTTAATGAGGTCAAGGTATTTGACAGAGTGAAGTGCTATTGTATTTCCTATTTTGTTAAGTTTTGATATTGATGTGTGTAATAGCTAGCTGACCTGAAGATTTCATATTTAAACAAATGCTTAATATCTACTTGTAGATCTGTCGTGAAGCAGAATCAGCTGTATTAAGTGATAGTGTATTTAAAGAATTACAAGAACAAACAGAACCACCAGTAGGTAAAACACATACTACAGCTATAGCTGCTGTGGAGGCAGCTAGTAAATCACAAGCTTCGGCAATAATAGTTGTTACTTCATCTGGAAGGTAAGATAACAGCATGTTTTTTCTGACACGATTATGCACAAAATTTGTAATATAAATCCCATGTAAAAGTTAATACTTGCATATTGAGGAGGGAAGTGTCTTTTGTGATAGTGGCATCAAGAAAAGAAACTGCAGACGCCTGACTAAAATTTAAGGTGCAAATTGATGCTATCATATACATAAAAAGTTCAGAACACCTCTTTACAATCCTATGTTTTTTCTCTGTATTTCCTTACAGCACAGCAGCAATGATAGCTAAATACCGTCCATCATGTATCATAATAGCTATAACAAGATCACCTAGTACAGCCAGATATCTTCATTTATTTAGAGGCATCCAACCTTTACTATATACAGGTATAGTTTATATTTTTCATTTATCTGGAGGTATCCAACTTTATATGTAGTCCATAGGTATCCTTTGATCAAAATATAATTGCTTTTTGGATATGAGTCAATGCAACTTTTGAAATTGATTTGCACGCATACTTTAACTTAATATAGGTAGAGATAGTACAGTGTGAAATTCTGAGTAACAACATGTGTCAGGTTCTGTTTTAATTTTCTAATACTTCAGATGAATGTTCGTATGAATGGGTTGATGATTTAGATAGAAGAATACATAAAGCGCTGTTAATGGCAGTTAATAATAGTATAGTTGTAGAGAATGATGTAGTGGTATTAGTAACAGGATGGACACCTGGTACCGGTCATACTAATACACTACGCTTAATTACCGTTCCTAATTTAATTGAAAATGACCCTCAACAAATCATGAATTTAGTTAATGCCACGTCTAATGAGGAGTTTTGAATCTGGATCCAATTATAAGGATTATTTTTAGTTCATACAAGAAATATATTGAAGTCTGCCATTTAAAGTATCAATAAATGGCATCATCCCACTCTTTTAGTATTGTCATCAGTATATCAAATTATACCAATTATTTTTTTCGGGATTTTAAATATTAGCTTCGAAATAGCAGATTTGGTCTTAAATTAGATTTGCATTGATAAAAATGTTGATAATTAAAGGCATTTATCAGCTAAAATTGAAGAGATTTTTGTTAAAATTTCTTGAAGGAAAGTGTTCTGACATTAGCAAAAAAAATTTGATTTTTTTTTTTATATCTTAAAGTTATTTTTAGATAGTTATCACTATTTTAAAGCTGATTTTCCAATTCATCACAAAAATAATCCATAAAATTTGATCTGCTAATGAAAGTGTAAAATCAGTAGTAAAAGATGTTCACTGGATCATGTTTCTCTAACATTTATAATTTAGATAGAGATGAAAAATCAATATTATAAAAACTTTTACAACCAAAAAACTTGATCCAGTAACTTGATATTATTGCTTCCATCTCCAGATAAAGGTGTTTTTAATTATTCTCAGAATAAATTGAAGTGCAATATTACATTAAGTATTTGTTAATTGTTAGTTTTTACTGTGATTTTTAACTTGTTTCTGTCCAGCCATTGACCATTGCCTACCGGATTAGGGAACATTTTTAACTGAAGGGACCATTGAATCTTTAAAATCATTCATCAATCTGTAAAGAGATAAAGGTCACTAAACCAGCTTATTGTCAGCTATCTGTAGCACCTTTGAAGTCCAGTTCTCCTGCAATGATATGAAAACCTACTGTGTTAGTCTAGACTAATGTCAATTCTCATAATCAATAATAATTTATAGTAAAAAAGTTGAAAAATTGAATTGACAATGGTTGTAACAGTTTGGTATTTTTTTTATCATCTATGGACATTTGAAATTGAGCACTATCAGCTGGTAATGTACATATTTAGATATTAAACCCTGCCCTTCCAATCTTGCCTAAAAGTTTTTCAAATTAAATTATTGAACTGGTTTAAAAAGTCAAATTAATTCAAGTTTTTAGCACATTCAAGCTGGTCTTCACATTCATTGTTACAGATGATAGATCTGAATTTCCTATTTATCAATTCCAAATAACGTGCCTATATTTTATTGTAAATTTTTAATATGTTTTTATGCTACCTCATCATGCTTTGATTTGTCAGTTATGTATTTTATGAGATGCTGTCAATTATGCGCCATTATTCAAGGAAAATATATTTCCTGCTCATTTAATAGTTAACCAATATTATATATTGTTTGTTGTTGATCATGTACTTAATTTATTAAATATTATTATATTATGCACACCTATATGTATTTTAAAATGGCAATGTGAAGAAGGCATGGCACAGTTATTGAGGTTATTGCTTCATTTCATCTGGCAAGAATTTTCAAGAATTGTTAATCTTGGGGTGGTGGGCAAGAAATGGGCACCACTACTGAAGCAATAGAATTAGTATATCAGACATCTGACCACAGGATACAGACATTGGCTCTGCAGCTATGGGAGTGTAGGTAAGATATTAATTAACACACAAAATTTGGAAAACGAAATATTATGATAAAGTCAGGCATGGCAGAGACAAACAAATAGAGGCGAAGACCTCTCCCAAGCTCCACTGCACCTCAAAATTATTTAGTATATTATAACAAGGTTGTAAATTCACCATATATTTAATGATAATTATATACGAATCATGGTGAAAATGAATGGTAAACAATCTGCACAACTGTGCCCTGAGTAACAAGAATATGAACAAGTATCTACAAAGGGTTAAAAAGCAATAACAAAAAAAAAATAATTTAGGCTTATAAATTTCATCATTGATTCATTAGCTAATTAATTTTGATTTTGAGTTGATTATCATAAAACAGCATCATGCCTTTGGAAATTAAATGAAATGAGTGCAGTTTTATGTCCTACTTTTCTGCACCATGTGGGCTAATGAAGACAGAATCTTTAGAATTAGAATTCCTCAATAATTATCAAATCAGGGAATTAGTGATCCTAAAGCATCTGTTCTTCTTTATTTAAAATGCTTAATGCTAATTATTCTTATGTAAGATAAATAAAAGGATTTTGATATGGTCCCATAATATAATTTGCTTTAACTCTTGAAAATTAACTTGGAACACAATAACAGACACAAGGGCTCTCAGCTCTGTAACATAGGTACATGTAAATGATGTCACTTTGCAATACAAATTAACAACATATGATGTATGACTTCAGTTCCAAACATTGTCCAATTCAAACTATTTACATATGATAACATAAATAATGTATGTACATTAATTTACAAAAAAAACAGCAGTAAGGCAAGGATGTTGAATCCTCAGATGTGAAGTTATATTTCAGCTTAGTGGTTGGTAAATATTTGAAAAAAGAAGCGGCAAATAAACACCCTATCAGTTAAGGCAAACTTTGAAAACTTAAGCAAATCTCAACAAACTTTGAATAGTCTGTCTAATAATAAAATTTATTATCTATTTGTAGACAACTAGTTTTAGGACAAGAAAGCCACATTTTAAATTAAAAGTTTGGTAAGGAATTTTGATATCATAATATCTACATAACTAGCCATTTGTTATAAATAAATATCAACCCTTAATTAACAATTTAGAAAAACTACAAAATAAACATCACAATGAAACACTCTTTTCATGTGGTCGTTATCACCTATTTCATGGTTTTTATATCTTATTGATCAATGTTAAATATAAATTTAGGTCTTAATAGATAAAACATAGAATCCATGTGCAACCAAACTCGTCAATCAAATATACCTAGAACAAAAAGCGCCACCACATATTGAACCATTGTTTCGCAAATGAATGCAATTCACAATAATACTTGATAACAGAGATATATGTATTGTAACCTAATGTTGAAAACAATATGTATTCGTGAAAAAATCAACAACAGGAAGTTGATGATCATACATTATATTGTCTTTAAAGCCCCAAATGCAAAGTATCTGTTTTTCATGTCTTTGAATGTCCTGTTGAGGAATTTGCTGCCACTCCTGATGCAATGCTGCATCTAACTCTGTTAAAGTTTGTACAGGAGGGTCTCTACGACGTACGCGATGTCCCAGAATATACTGAAGTTAGTGGCGCTTAACTTTTTGTTCTACGTATATAATGAGATTATAAACAATTGTCTAGTGTTATAATTATAACTGTTACTAGATATATTTCTTAGATTGCAGACAGAACTACTTTAAAGGCACGTCACACTTTGCAAAAATACTTGTCAAGTTGAAGTATTAAGTTACTGAAAAGTAATAACTACATATAGATTAGTTATTTATCATTTATTAGTATTAATAATATATCCTGTTACCATCCGATTGGTTCCATTTATTACAGTAAATAAATATCAACCAATCAGATTTCTAGAATTTATTAAATATAAAATCTTACAATACCGTCTGATATCAGACCCCTGGTATTAATCTACCAATATATAATCATAAATACTAATAAAGATAGGTATTAATTATTATTATATACAGATTGGGCTTTTATAATCCACCAAATTCAAAGCTTTTTAAGCACAAGTGTACTTCGTCCAAGCATTTACTCTTTCGACATGTGACTTAAAGGGCAAATTCATAAAACACGAAAATTGAGTTCCCATCTATACTCTCCTTGAGTAAAAGCCATTTTTTTTGTTTATTGGTTCTAAAGCTTTTTACTTTTAACCGTTTGATTTTAAACTTCAAGTTATTCTACTTGAGGTTTCATTATCATATTTATACTCAGTGTTCAAGGGTTACTTTGAATTGCTGCATGCCATTGCATTAAAACTGAGTATCTCTGAGTTTCAAAAGCATAATATTCTTCATTAAGTCATGGGGTAAGAAAAACACATAACGTGTATTTCAGTAATGATCACTTTGGTCTTATTAAAATAAATATTGTAATATATTTGGTATTTTGTCTCAGATGGTTCTTATTTAGTCTCCACAAAAATTGGGAGCAGCAATTTGCATTTTGATGTAGATTTCAGGTTTTGTACACTATTGGTTATTACTTATTATATTTGGTCTTAGTTTTCTCAAAGACTACTACATTTGTACATTGATTAAAAAGTGATTTACGAAGAATTGAACAAGTTACTACTGATATTATCAACATTATATCACAATTAGAATTGAACAGTTTTTACCACTATACAATATAAACAATTAACAACCATACTATAACAAAATAAATTCTCTGTTCACTCGTACAATAAAACAATCATACATGAAGACTTGTTTAACATCTTTCAAATCACTTCAGATATTCCAACAAATATACTACCATGTGTAATAGAATAACATCATCAAGTGCCTTGTTTTCTTAGAAAAGCTGTGAATAAGATAAATTGCGACAAAATAAACTTCCAATAGTAATAGGATAACCTGTTCAATGTTGTATTTTGTCTGTTTTGGTTGTAAACAATTTGGGATAAATTGAAAATATATATACACAGTACAGCTGCCAATTTCTACAAGATTTCTACATTCAGTTGTCTTTTGTTAAGAAAGATATGATCTTTGTAGTATTTTGTTGAATTTGGTCATGTATCTAAAGTTGTTTGAAAGTTGTGAAACACGCCTAGTCACTGAATATTGAATATATTAAATCTTTTAAAACTTCTACAATATCCTGCTGTCAGCTCCATGTGGGGTCGTAATTTTTCCAAGTTGATGGTGGAGACAAGTAGATTCTTCTCCCTCGGAATACAAAACTAACAACACCCCTATAGGCTCCTCTTGGTACACCCGCCTACAAATCACAACAAATAATTACAAGTGCTGTGAATTTGAATCCAACTCAAGGTGAGAAAAATTATTATCTAGGACCAGTGCTTCTTGGCATTGGCTTCCATCCCCAATCAACTTTAGATTCTAAACTCTTTTGTTGGTTCAAATAATTCTAAAGCGACATTTAGGGGTAGAGATCACATTCAAGAATAGAAGACAATTTTACCGTAGGAGTAGTATATCTGTAGTCTTATGTTATTCAATATCACATGTTAAAGACTGAACATGAAATTTTTTTTTTATAAAACATAGAATTACATACCTTATAATCATCCATAATTCCTAATTTTTTAGCGGCAGCTTTGTATTCATCTTTAGTTTTATAGGTGACTCTGACTGGATGGAGTTTTGGTTTATTAGCTGATACAACCACCTCTGTTACTGTCATTTCTGGTGAATTATATACTTCTTGTAGAAATTCTGTATCATATCTCTCCTAAAACAAACAAAAAACATGTTTCCTTTATTGGTTAAAATAATCTATATCTAAAGTTACTGGAGCTTGTTTAGCAAATTTTTATACATGACAATATACAAGAGTGAAAGATTTCTCAATATATTGGAGCATAAAAGACAAAAAGATCTATGAAAAAAGAGATTTATATTGACATGAATTCATCCTTAATGTATCACATGTACAAAAATTTTAACTTACCTTTTTTAAATAAGAAAGATCCATTTTAGAAAAAGGCACAAGCTGTTCATTTAACTTGATAAATTTTAAATGTTTTTCATAGAATAAACCACTGAAAAAATAAATAAATATATCAATCATATTAAAGCAAAAATCTGCACCTTCATGGCCATTACAATTTTATTTTCCAACAGATCTTTAGCAATCAGCTGTTAACATACAGGTCTCAAACATCAATCGTAATAAAACTGTTCAAGAAGATACTTTGACCTGTATAAAAACAAATCAGTTTAAATGGGACAAGCTTGCTGTGGTTAAAAAATTACTTGATCTACATGATTAGTACACATCTCATTAGCAATTTCAGCATTTAATAATAAATAAGTACTTACTTGCTAACACCCTTTTTACCAAAAGTACTGGTTCTACAAATTTCTGGTCTAATACACTCTCGACCTTTTCTCTGATCAGGGTGTCTCATCCAATCATCCCAGAATCTGAAATTAATAACAATGACATTCTTATCTATGTCTATATAGGAGCTTAATACAGGAACTCTGAACGGTGTTTCAGATCATGACCTTCACATGCCCAATTTAGCATTTTGATCTTTGCAATGTCATCGTAAAAATCTGCAAAATTTATTCATTAAACTACAACTACAGAGAGAGTCAATGCTTACATAATATGAGGATCTAAACACTAAATATTACTTACGCTTGAGGCCATTTTGGTCCAAGTTCTAACCATAATGATTTTTCTATCATCCATCCCAACCCAGGGAAAAAATCACTTCTGTACAACTTCTCTGTTAAGAAAAAAAAAACATAAATTGTCTTAACTCATGTATCTTTTTATTCTAATACTTTGGTAATGGTAAAATAAGAAATACAATATTTGTTATGAAAAGCTGCAGAAACAGTACTTTTATCTACTGGCAAATGTGTATAAATATAGTAAGGCATATACATGGCACATTTTTAAAAGTAAAGGATGAAATTAAACGATCCCATACCCATCTACCAACTAATTTCTAAAGGACATTTCTCAGCTTCTCTAAAAGGAAATGTGTGTGCTTCTTCTCAAATCCGTCCATCAGATTAAAAAATTTTTGATTCTGAACCCCTTCCAGAAGACAAAAAGTCATGGATGAAGACTAAGGGAGATAACTTACCTGGTTCTTCTGATACTAGATTAGCCTTGCCATTATCATTCCATGCTGACACACACCATAACTCTTTCTCTAGGTGTAACAGAGGATATGTGGCTGCGAAATACTCATAAAAATCAGGTGATATGTCAAGATCATCTGCAAATATAATTCATTATTGTTAGAACACTAAACTAATCAGATAATGTTAAAAACATACAATTTTAAATGAAAATTATCTTTAATAAAAAAATATTGTAACCTTATACATTAATACATATTCAAATTTCAAAATGGTAAAAATTTTCAAATTATATTCTTAGAAAATTTTACTTGATAAATGAAAATGAAAGACAACTACTTTGAGCATACAGTTCTTATACAATTACTGAAATGTATAGATAATGCTACACATAACTTCTTATAACCATGTAAAGAACAAGACCTTACCTTCAACTATGATAACTGTTGAAAAATTAAATTTATGAAAGACTTGATCTAAAGCCCATTTATAATGTCTTGATATCTTATAATAACCAGCAAACTTTCTCTGTGGCCATGGTAGCTTTATATCACTTACATCTGGTTGCTGAAATGAAATCAAGTTTAATAAGTCTAAGCAGAGTAGAGTTATTATAAATATGCATTAAATAAATTTGGACAGTTTTTTTTATAAGATATATTATCAATGGTTAGCAGACATCAGGAAAGCAAATGAGTAAAACATTTTTACATCTCCAGCAAAGTCAAATCTATAATGGAGAGCAAATCTCTTTAAACACACCAAAGACATGACTATTTGAACAACCAACTTTACCCTAGGTGAATTGACTGGTATTTTAATTTCTTTTCCACATATCAATTGAATAAATGAGTTATGTACCTTTATATGAATGATGCCATGAGCAGAAACATATTTCTGTATAACTGTAGCAGTTGCCTGATGACCACAGTCTTGGGTCACTATGATGGGAAATTTCTTAGCATCTGGTCTATATCTAAAGAAGAAAAAATGTATTGATAATTCATGAAATTAAATAGCAAAAACAATAGGGTTGGATAATAATTTATGTGAAACAAGTTTGATTCTTTAATTTAAAATCTGTTCAAAATTCAAGGCTGGGTATAATTTGGCAAACAAACAAAAATCACCTCTAATTTCACAAATGAGCTCTGCCAATCATATATTTAGGTTTCCGATTGATGGAAGGTATGCATGTGCGGAAGAGTTCAATAGAAAGTTGAGGGGCTTTAAATAGGACTAGCTTTAACTAACACACTAGTCCAATCTGGATGTCATTATATGCAAAACATGAGATGATACTTTGTGGTATATAATGGCTCGTTCGATACCTCTTGTGATTACTGTGTTTACAAGCTCAATGTTGTGAATTTCCGTTTGATATTGGAATCCTCTCATATTTAATAGCTTGGAAAGTCATGAAAATGGAGAAATACTGTGGACATAAATTTTCACAACTTCTATGACCTTCACCTTGACCCAATACAAAAATATCAGGATCTTCAAATGTGGTTCTTCCTTATTGACGATGTTTAAAGACGTTCAACAAAAGTTGATAAAGAGCATGGTATTGAAATATTTAAACTGCTAACACAATCTCTTTTTCCACATGAACAGTTGTAAATATTGCCTACGGTCTCAACTTTTTCACACAAATTTCAGATTTGCGAGGAAGTTGTAAACACTGTTTTTACAGCAGGTATCGAATGCAGTACAATGTATATAAATATGAATGTATTTAATGATATTAAGATTGACAGGTGTTCTTGTCATACCTGTCTTAATACTACAGATTATCAATAAATCTATATTCTTATAGACTAAAAAAATATAATTATTGATTCTAAGAACAGCAGTTAAATAATAAATATTATACGTTTACATTCAAATATTTTTAAAAGAAAATTTCCTTTAAATCATTATTGTTTGTAATTTGGGGTTATTTTACTTGAAATTCATCATTATTGTAATTTATCAGGCAATTTTTGCAACAGCTCCATATCAACAAAATATTTTTTACCGACATAAGTGTCCTTTTGATTTTTGAAATACAAAATATGCAAGTATTCTTCATAAAAATGGCGAGAAAATTCTTGCTCTGAGATATGGAAGGCATCGGCTTTGAGGGCATCTTCTCAAAAACTTAGCAATAGTGAGATAAAACCTTCATTTTAGTCAGTGAGTAATCTGATGGGTGAATAAAACTAGATTTAAGATATGTTACGATAGTGGCTAATAGGAGCACTAAAAGTATGTGACGTCTGTTAGGTACTGACCCTTGATGTACATATTTACAAGTCATATCTACAGTCAACCAAATCAAATACAGTATATATTTATTTTAGACTAGAAGAAATGCTAAGTTGCAGATCAATAAAGTTTGTATTATTATAACTTATAAATTTTGATAGTCAATACTTTAACTGGCACTTAGCAACAGTGTCTCCAAATAACTTTTTAATGTCATTACATAACATAGAACAATATTTAAGTATACTATTACTATGTTTTGTAGCATACAATGGCTAAATTTACATTTTTATTATCATCATCATTCATCCAATGATGACAATGAATTGCTGAAAGTTTTTTCACAAGAGGTATAACATAAGCTAGTGTCATTTGAATTTCTAATAACTTTCATACTAAACTTTTCAAATTTCTGACTATGAAGGTGATAATGGACATCATAAATAACAGACCCACTTGTGTTAATTCAACTACAGCTAAGAACTATAAAAACATTTAGTTTATAGAATCATTTACCCAAAAACTGAGCAAATCTTATCTCCAACATTTATGTTTCAAGTATATACCTGGCAAAAAAAACTAAAGCCATGTTTAGAAAAGAAATCATATCATTTACCCATTATTTGAAATATTATCTAATACTTACTTTAAAAGTCTGTCTAAACTTCGACTTACAGTCACTCTATTACAAGCAAACATTAAAATTGGTAAGACTTCTGTTCCTAATGATAGCTTTTCATCACTGACTTTAGAAGCTTCTTTTTGAGCTAAATAATACACATCAATTTTAATCAAACCGGAGGAAATGTTAAATTTGATTACAGTATTAAAAAAAAAGCAATTTAGAAAATAACTGATGAAATTGACAAGCAAATAATATTAAAATTAGATGCATATTAGACAATGTTTTATGTGACTTCAGTATTGTTAAAAATATCAAGTCTTTACTTTCAACATATTTATAAAGCTTTCTTTCATACATGAAAATCATCCTTTCATAAAATGATCTGGTAAGACCAAGATTCTTCAACTATCAGAACACAAGTGGAAATTTTTTAAACTATTGAAGAACTTGAGAAAAAGTACCTCAAATATACACGATGAAAATAGCAAGTACATGACATTAGTATCTCAGTTGCTTACCTTTATTTTTCAACTGTTTTAAATCATCCAGTAATTTCTGATTTTCTCTTAACTGTGAGTTTATTTCAATTTCTAATTTTGATAATTTGATATCTAAAAGAGGTTGTATATCACCTGCTTTCTGTAATATATCATACAAAATAATCTAAAATATTCATAACTTATAACAAAAAACACCGGGGGAATATATTATGGTATATAATATTCATAACTTCAACGAAGAATTATATTTCATGAAAATGAATGAAATTAGGATTGCATGTATTTTTAATACTGAAAAATCTTAAAGGGATTGTTAAGAGGCGTTTTAGCTTTTGTATGTGTATCAGGGCCATTGATTCATCATAATTATCAGTCAACAGTCAGATGTCCATAGCTCCTGAAATCGCTGAAGTGCTTTACCATATGGCATATATGACATCACAATAATAAAAGCTGTGAATAATATATAAGGACCTAGGTGATAGGCATGTCATATATCACTTAGATTAAGTACTATTTCTAAATTTCCAATGTTTGATCAGATGTCTGTGGTTCTCGCAATTCCACTAAAACTAAGTATTTGATTAATTAGTGAAGTCATTAAACTCATAAAATATAGTGGAAATGCAGAAACCACAGACAATCTCGTCGAAAATTGGAATGATGCAAATTGATGTTTTCACTGTCCCCGATACACATAAACAATTTTGAAAAACTCTTTACAATCCCCACAAGTCATCAGTCCATAAGAATGAAAAAACATTACCTTTTGAGGGTGTTTGTTGGTAAGTAAGTAGTAAGTAAGAAGGTTCCATGATAAGAACACCCCAACTACCAGTGTTATCAAATAAGACCGTTTGATTCGCATTCTTCATCAATTAATAATCACGTCATGTTTATATTACTATTCATATTCATCTGAAATACAAATAACTCTATATAAAATATGTTAGCAATTAGTAAATACTGATCTGGATAATTAATTGAAATCTAACCTCATGCAATGAAATTGAATATTAAAAGGCTGGTATCATAATAAATTCATATTCATCTGAAATACGAAAAATTTCATATAAAGGCAATTGGCAATAATTAAAGTATGATTACCAAATGGATAATAGATATACCTAATTAAAAATCTCAATTCAAGAATCAATAACGATAAAATCAAAATCTGATATAATAAACCAAATACAATAATTTAACACAAAAACTAATGATATATGATAATTCAAAAATCATATGAAAATGATAAATGGAAAGTAATGAACATCATAATTCAAACATAATTTATATATATATATCGTGTTACATGATATTCTATCATTAATCCACTATATATACCATACTTTAACTTGACTACCAAGTGACCTATTACATATTCATTTTATACATTAAATTACATTCAAGTGGCAAGGTGCTCCAGTTTACAGGGCATATGCCTTAAATATATATTTTTTTTCTTAAAAAGTTGAATATCAAGCTAATGGTTTAAATTTTTTCAAAATCAAAATATTTCAAAATTAATGGAAAAACAAAATTCATTTTCCAACGACACATATTGTTGAGCACTAATAGAAGTTTTTTTAAAAAATGAAGCTGATAGACAATTTCAATTTGATCAGTTGTCTCATTGACTAAATAACAATTTTCATTGAGAACATGTTATAGAAGCTAGTTTAAAACCACACAGCTGCTAAATTATTTTGTCAGCAAAACAGTAATAAAAGTGTGTTCAGATGACTATTGTTAAGGCAGCTGAACTAACATATGTTCTTCAAGGCCTTGGTCCTCTGATACTGACTTAAGCTGCCTGAACTCAAACTTACTTAGGAGGTGGCTTAAAACCTGGCTTGAATAGTTAAACCAGCTTAGTTTGGCATTCTGAACACTACTGGCATAAACAAATTCCTGATATTATCATTGTTGTCATAATGTACTTGTAAATGAAATGAAGACAGCAACGCCATGCAGGGTGCAATGAGGGAAATTTTGCCAAGACAGCGGCATTAGCCTGCTCTTTTTCGATTTCCAACTGTCGAGGGATATTATAATATGCACAGCCTGTTGCACACAGGGCCTTGGTTTATTGTCCATTCCAAACGACTAGACGCTTTTTCCATGTCAGCCCCTCTTACCTGCAGCACTGACAGGGGGAAACCGGGTTGAAAAATCCGAAGGTAATATCTCGACCTATGCCGGGATTGAACCCTGGACCTTCAGGTAAGCGAGCAAGCGTCTAACTTACTGAGCCACCACGGCTCCCCAATGTGCATCTTGTGACCTCTGAACTACTCAACTTCCGAGATGTCAAATTATCTGAAATTTTATATGCATATGAACGCTCACCAAATATCTGTAAACCAGGCTTGAAGAACTGTTGATAATTAAGCAGCTTTAACTTTATTCGTCTGAACGCCCTAAAAGAGTCATTATGGACGTACGAACACTTCAATAAATGGACTAACTTTTCTATTTATTTAAAAATTTCATTCACATCTGTTTCAAAATTTACATATCTTACAAAAAATCTATTCTATGACATGACTTATACACAATTACTTTCCAAATTGAAGTCAATTTTTAATGAAGACATAATAAGTTTATAAACTTTAATATTAACATCATAATAAAACTGGTTTTAAGATTTTAATTAAAACTATGTATGTTAAACTGAAGGGAATACCATAATGCTCTTTCATGTATGACAGTATCATTCATTAGACCAAACTAATGCCTGTGCCAGTGCTCTCGAGAGTCAACCCAGAATCGGCTCGCACCTCCCCCATACCAAATAATATACATTCTACTTGTAGTACAGAAATATAACTTTAACAAGTCGGTCAAGTTTCTCACTTTATCAGTAGACAGAAAAAAAAAGAAAGAAAATTCTTACACTGTTGTCGCTTTTTCTTGCAGAGAAATTTATTTGTATCTGAAAGGTAAGGAACCCAAAACCAAATTCTAATTCTAATAAGTGATATGGGTAGGTTTAATTCAACTGAATGGTAAAAAGTAATCAAGAAACTAAAGGTTGTATTGAAATAACCTAGGGAACTAGAGATTATCAAATTCAGTGTTAATAAGATTAAAACAATACAAAACCATTAATTTAGTATTCTTATTAATCTATCTGATCAGTAATTAGGGTAATCAAACCTTTAAATCTGGTTTCAAATAAAGCACTGAAGATAGCAGCTACATCTAATACAATAACATTGTACATATATGTAGAGGCTTACATTTCAAAGTACATAACTTGTCAATTGATTAAAAAGCACATAAAAAAACTTAACATTTCTTGTGAAGATTTTAATGTTGACAGCTTACATGTAAATGATTTATTCTTATATGTTGAAATCTATCTATATGATGCATAAAGAATCACAATACCTGTACTTTTTAAAAAAAAACTTTCAAGATTATTGACCAATTTAATGAACCATTCTTAACAAAGATATATCCAAACTGACAAAAGTTGACACTAGCTCATGATAAATGACCAATAAAGGTCAATATAAAACAATAGGTTCATTCATCATCGATTATATTTAGCCATTTTGTAATATGACAAAAACTTACACTGTGTATCTATTTTACAATGTTCATTGATCAAACATGTTTGTTACATACATTAAACATATTGAAATAATACAGTTAAACTACAATTCTTTTGCTTTGCTTCCTATCAACAAGATATTTCGTCACCCTTCCATATTAAAAATATACAGTTATATTCCATTTATTTTGCTTTGCTTCCGATCAAAAAGACATGTGCTCAACCTCCAATAAGTAACATCAATTGAAAGACACAATGTGTGACAATTCTTTGTGACAAACAAACCATGTGCCAGTCAACAAAGACAAGAAGCTGTTGATCCACTATACTGCATTTAAACATCAAAAACACATTGTCACAAAACGGAGGGCTATTGCAACATTAATAGTAAAATATATGTACTAACTTTAACTGTTTAAGGGATTGTAAAGAGGTCTTCTAAACTTCCTATGTGTATTGGGAACACTGATAGCATCAAAATACCATATCAATTTTCAATCATATGTCTGTGGTTCCTGCAATTCCACTACAACTAAGTGTTTTATATGACATCACTTTCACAAAAGCTGCTATTGACAAGAAGACATGATAAAACAACTAGGTTAAGTGGAATTGCAAGAACCAAAGACATTAGATTGAAAATGTGAATGTTAAAAATTGATGATATCAGTGTCCCCCATAAACATAACCTTTTTAGGAAACCTCTTAATCCCTTTAACTATTAATCTTAAAACTAAAAGTCATTCTGAACATCAACTATTTGTATCATAGTCAACCAATTACTTTAACATCATCAACTATTTATGCCAGGCTAGGCAACCATATTCATAGCCATCCAATACTTTTCCTAATGTCAACCACCCTTCTCATTAGCAACCATGTATCTACATGGTAGCATATCTTATCAATCTATTTCAGAAGAGTAGAGGTAAGGCAGTTGCTCACCAGACATTACCTCACCAAACAAATGAGATTTCTTTTGTAAGCAACTGTTCCATGGGCAACAGTCAGGTGAGCAGCTATCCCAATCATATGTCTAAAATCATATCCAAATTTACCTGAATCCAATAACCATAAAATATATTTTCCAATATATAACACAAATTGTCAGAAAATATGACTATTCTATCTTTCTTACAGCAATGAAATGGAATCAATTACTAGAAAAAAACTTGGCTTTTATTGTACCACAAAGGTCTGGAAATTAATGCAAATAGCATTAATAATATTCATTTGATTTCCACAACTCCTGTTTTGTAATAACAATAATTGACAAGACTGAAAATGCTTCCAACATTTTTTTCTTGCCTTGATAAGTTAAAGACAGTTTGATTGGAAAAGGAGGGTTTTTCTTGGTGAGAATTCAATGAAGTGTAGAGGGAAATGTCTGACAGAATGCTATTGATTTGTGTTAAAAGCTATGATTGCTGTACATATTTTACCTCTCACTAGTCTCAGTTCAATCATCACTGCCTTATAGTTTCACCCCTTGCTATATAATTCCATATTACAACAACCAACATCTACTATAAAACCATTTCACAAATATTCAAAATAAAATTTTAAATTTTATTCTTGGAATGGCTTGGCATTTATAGAAATATAAGGTTTGGTGATTTCACTTTTAAAATAAACACTGTTCTCTTCCATAAACTTCTGATGAAAATGACACATTTCAAACAGAAAATTCCCTTTTATGAAATCATATTCCCAAGAAATTATTCTTTCTTTGGTTGACATTTTCATCAACCCACAGGCAATCTAAGGTTCTTTATTTATGAGTTGATATTTCAAATGAAATAAAGATTCTGTTAATATTTTGGTCGGACAATAATAATGGAATATTTTACATTTATACATTGAATATTAACCGGAAGTAATTAGTACCAGTAATTTCTATTGATTAGCCAATATCAATAATGCTAGATACTGGTAACTACATTGCTTTTTTCTTTTCTGTTTCCGTAACAAGAACCTGAAAATGCCTAGCAGCGATTGTCAACTTCAACTCAATCTCAAACCAAATTCTTAGTTGTGAAATATCTTCCTTGAAGCCATGAAACCCATATCATTTCAATCTAGATGAAACAATCTAATTTATCTCAATCATTATCTAATTACCTATACTAATCTGATTTTCTCTGTAATTTAAAGTTATCTCCCTTAGCCATCAGAAGTGATGTGCCTAGCTAAATTAATCTTATTGTAAGTAAGAGAAGAGTATTTAATTTAATAGATCCAACACCAAAAGAATTTATTTTCAACAAGAATGAACAAAAAGAAATATTAATCCATTG